CTGTTGTGCTTCTCATTATCCAGTCTATAGCTATATGAAATAACAGACTGCAGAAGCTCCGACTTCAAAAAGCGTATACTTATATAATGTTCTGTCAATTTCTTCGCTTTATTTTCCACTGTCTAAAATTACCCATCTTTTGATATGTAAAAACACTTCCTGAAGAGACTTAATCTCATCAGATAATCTTTAAATCTTCCCCCAACGCCCCTGTGGCGTGTACACACAGAGTGATGAAACATTATTGAACCGTAAGGAATAAACATCATAGCAAGGAAACAATAGATACACGCCTATTTATTCGTTCCTCTTAATGTGTCATTGATGCTGTGTTATTCTTATTGTGAATTTAAACAATGTCTTCATTTACTCTTTTTTTTTTCAATTCAAAGGGACGCGAAAGAAAATTACACTTTTAAAATAAACCAGTTAAAGATGTATTTTAATAAAACCTACAAATAGACTGGGGCGAAAATGTGTACTTTTTTTATGCACAACATTTTAAATGTTTTTCCTATTTCTCAGTTCTCAGGCGAAACAACGCCCTTTCATTCTACAATAGCCTTTTCCGGGGAAACAAACTTTTATTAGGATTATGTTTCTCTTCCTTCAATTTTTTTATTGGTCCGTGAATTGTTTTCTTTTAGTCAGGTTTTCTTTCAGCTATATCTCCAGGGGAGGGGGGGGGGGGGGGGGGGGGGGGGGGGGGTGGGGGGGGGGGGGGGGGGGGGGGGGGGGGGGGGGGGGGCCGGGTCCACCCCCGGGGAAAGCCAGGTCCCTCCCCCCGGAGCAAAAATATGTCCAACAATAAATAAACTAAAACTGCTGGCACTGCCCCCCATCCCCAGGAAAATCTGAAGTGCCCCCTCCAAAAAAAATCTGAAGTACCCCTCCGAGGGAAAATTTCTGAAAGAAACACTGCGGGTTTCGTGCTTCTTGTCCCTTGGTCTTTTCATCTTAGTACTGTCCTGAAATATGATCTTTGGGGCTTTCTACAAAGATGACCTGATCATCTTTGTACTGTCCTGAAATATGATCTTTGGGACTTTCTACAAAGATGACCTGATCATCTTTGTAATGTCCTGAAATATGATCTTTGGGGCTTTCTACAAAGATGACCTGATCATCTTTGTACTGTCCTGAAATATGATCTTTGGGGCTTTCTACAAAGATGACCTGATCATCTTTGTACTGTCCTGAGATATGATCTTTGGGGCTTTCTACAAAGATGACCTGATCATCTTTGTAATGTCCTGAGATATGATCTTTGGGGCTTTCTACAAAGATGACCTGATCATCTTTGTACTGTCCTGAGATATGATCTTTGGGGCTTTCTACAAAGATGACCTGATCATCTTTGTCTTGTCCTGAGATATGATATTTTGGGCTTTCTACAAAGATGACCTGATCATCTTTGTACTGTCCTGAGATATGATCTTTTGGGCTTTCTACAAAGATGACCTGATCATCTTTGTACTGTCCTGAGATATGATCTTTGGGGCTTTCTACAAAGATGACCTGATCATCTTAGTACTGTCCTGAAATATGATCTTGGGGGCTTTCTACAAAGATGACCTGATCATCTTAGTACTGTCCTGAAATATGATCTTTGGGGCTTTCAACAAAGATAACATGTTCATCTTAGTAATGTTCTGAGATATGATCTCTTGGGCTTTCTATAAAGATGACCTGATCATCTTAGTACTGTCCTATGATCTTTGGAGACTTCAACAAAGATAACATGTTCATCTTAGTAATGTTCTGAGATATTATTTTGGGGGATGTCTATAAAGATGACCTGATCATCTTAGTAATGGTCTGAGATATGATCTTGGGAGCTTCCTACAAAGATAACCTGTTCATCTTAGTACTGTTCTAAGATATGATCTTTCGAGCTTTCTATAAAGATGACCTGTTCATCTTAGTACTGTTCTGAAATATGATCTTGGGGGCTTTCTATAAAGATGACCTAATCATCTAAGTGCTGTTCCAAGATTAGATCTTGGGGGCTTTCTACAAAGATAACCTGATCATCCTAGTAGTGTCCTGAGCTATGATCTTGGGGGCTTTCTACAAAATTAACCTGATTATCTTAGTACTGTTCTGAGATATGATCTTGGTGGCTTTCTACAAAGTTAATCTGTTCATCTTGTCGTGTGCTGAGCTATGATTTTTTAGACTTCCTACAAAGATAACCTGTTCATCTTAGTAATGTTCTGAGATAAGATCTTGGGGGCTTTCTATAAAGATAACCTGATCATCATAATACTGTTCTGAGATAAGATCTTGGGGGATTTCTACAAAGATGACCTGATCATCTTAGTACTGTCCTGAGATATGATCTTGCGGACTCTATACAAAGATAACCTGTTCATCTTAGTACTTTTCTGAGATAATATCTTTGGAGTCTCTAAAAAGATGACCTGTTCATCTTAGTGCTGTTCTGAGATACGATGTTGGCGGGTTCTACAAAGATGACCTGAACATCTTAGTGCTTTCCTGAGATATTATCTTGAGGGCTTTCCACAAGATGACCTGATCATCTTAATACTGTCCTGAGATATGATCTTGGCGGCTTTTTAGTAAGATGCGCTGATCATCTCAAGTGACTCGTCTGCTTTGCACGATTCATACAATGGTTCGCAACCCAGATAGGCATTAAACACTTCTTTATCGAGAATTCTGTGGATACTCTTTCGCCATTTGGTCTGGAAAACTTCTTTTCGGGTAAAGGTCATCCGTAACTTCGATCTATAGATAAATCTAAAGGGATTACTTGTACATCCCGCTTAGAAAAATCACAAATCTTTCTTTGCCATCAAAGTGCGTTAAAAGACTATAAATAAATTTAACGTTCAGGTACGCACGTGTTACATGCAAATTGACACCAACTCTAGGCGTTGCAGTTTTTTGAAACTATTGACTCAGCTGTCGTGTTTAGGGATCAATTATTTGTGATTTCATAAAGGTGTCAGAGGAGAAACGATGTTTCAATAGTAATTAATTTCTTTTTTAAAACTTTTTATTTACATTTTTTTGGTTCTACTTTCATTTGATATTAAACAAATCTCTTTAGAAACAAAAAAAAAAATATTCCCTTATTAAGTAATTGTGTTTCTGAATAAGCTTTTAACTTTTCTTAATGAGCGAGTCATTTCTTTAAACAGCTTAGAATTTTTTAAACGTTTTAAGATGAATCTTTTCATTGTTTCATGGACGGTATCGACACAGTTTAAAAGTCAAATACAACACTTTCATAATAAAAAATAATCATCAAAACACCATGAACGTCTATTTCAAATATTCGATTTTTCAGAATTGCACCTAGAATTAACAAATGAACAAAGTTTTTCCGTACGAATCCTTTATAGAATGTAATATATAATGGGTGTTGGGGCGGAAAATTTAACATAACATGCATACAAGTAGCGCACTTTATAAGAATCCAAATTAGCGCCCCCCCCCCCCCCCCCCGCAACCAGGCTCGCAACCACACATTTTTTTTCACGCCCCTGAACTATATTAATATTCTAATGACCCAGCCACTTTTTCGCGGCAGATTTGTTTAACCAACTATTTCAGAAAAACAGCAGTAAATATTACAGACCAGCGATTACTTTAAAAAAAATCTCATCTAGCGCAGGTATCGGGAATTTTATTTCGTGAAATCAGTGTCATCATACTTCCTTTGTCCTCCCCTTGAAAAACAGGAAAAACTGACTTTCGGGGTTGGGGCTGAAATTTGATAGAATGTGTTGTCATCGGCAACGAGTGTATATGCTAAGTTAAGTTTCAGCTCGATAGGTTTACGAGAAGTGGGTCAGTTAGCCTTCCGAAAATTTTGCCAGTCCAACACCGAGCCAGGAACAAAATTGAATTTAATGTAAAGGATTTAAAAATATTTTAAGTTTTGCTATGCCAGTGAATTTCTACTAGTCTCCAGCCATATGTCTATATTTATGAATCAATTCATATGATTAATAATTATTACGGTATTTAAATACGTCCCATATAAATTAAACCTGACCCCCCCCCCCTTGCCTTAAATAAATATTAGACCCACCCACGCCTTTAAGCTTTGTCGTTGCAACTAATTACCTCACCCCAGAATTATGTCACTTTATTTGACTGACGTTAACTTTGTATTAGACAAATATTAGCTCTAGTAATTAAAATCTAAAATCTTTCAGTTATCGATTTCTTGGTAGGGGAATTGTATAAATTGTTGCTTGGATTCGATGGACAGCTGCACTCGACATCTCCTTTGGGAAGCAGAGCATGTAAGTAGGACAACGTGTCTTCTGTACATTTGGGCGTAATGTTTTTACACATAGCTTTTCTCTTTTTTTTATTTGGTACTAGATGTCACACTTATTCACACGTGTTTAAATAAGATACATAATTTAGGACATAATAGAAGACATAAGATAGGAAATAAAATATGACATATATAATACATAATAAAGGACATAATATGGATATAATATAGGACATAATAAAGGACATAATAAAGGACAAAATATAGGACATAATATAGGACACAATATAGGACATAATAAATGACATACTATAGGACATAATATAGGACATGATATAGGACATAATAAAGGACATAATAATAGGACATAATATAGGTCATAGTATAGGACATAATAAATGATATAATATAGGACATAATATAAGACACAATATAGGACATAATACAGGACATAATATAGAAATAATATATAACATAATATTTGACATAATATAGGACATAACATATGACCCAATGTAAGACATGATAAACTATTGTATGGAGCTTTTCCATACAAATTTAACCTAATGAACATCATGATTAAAAACTTTTTAAAAATTGAGTTTGTTATAAAACACATTTATTTTCAAGATCTTCTTAAATGCAATGAGCATTTTGCTAAGAATACATTTGTTGACGCTGTGTGTCTGAATCAACATTAAAGATTTGATGGAACCACGGATCACATTATTTTTTTTTTCAGTCCACATACAAATTTAAAATTTAGAAAAGAAAAAGCAATTCGTTAACAAAAAAAAAATAAATAAATAAATAAACGGCCCAGACCATGATTGCTGCAGCCTTCAGTGCTATGCTTGTGGTCGCCACGACCGTACGAGCCACGTACGTGAATGAATGGGACAAGCCTTTTGAGTTCAGATGTCCAGAAGGTCAAGTCATCATGTACATATCCAGCGTCCATGAGAATTTCTACGACGACAGGCGATGGGAGTTCATCTGCAGGACTGTTGGTTACACTCACAATTGTGTTTCTAGTGGTAGGTTGAGACTAATTATATATATATATATATATATATTCTTTTTTTTTTTTATGTTTTCTGCGTAACCAAGTTTTAAAACACATTATGAACAGTTTGAAACTAAAGAATGCTGTTGACGGAAATAAGTTGCTAGGGAAATTTCAAAGTCATAACTCAGCATCTTCATTTCCCGATTCAGTATTGTTTCTCTTAACTGATATATTAACTTTCACTGACTTTATATGCCGGTATATTAAATATGTATTTCCTTCTTTGATTACGATGGGTGAAATATTTCATAAAGTAGAGGATTTGAAATAAATTAACAGGATTTCAACAGCTAAAAGACTTAGAGAAATAAAATATAGAAAAACGAGAAAGTCAAATTCCAAAATTGGTTATTCAGTGCATGGATAGATTGTTACTTTTTACAGAGGAGGACATTAAACAGACCAAGTCACTTCAAAATCCAAGAAAGAAAGCTAGAAATACAATAAAATAAAGTACAAAGCAAGGTCTTTTTTTTTTAAATCTCAAATTCGAAATGTTTGATAGATTCACGCATGCTAAAGCGTTTATTTATATCAAATATGTACCTAAATATTTTCCAACATCCACTATCCAGATTTGATTGGGATGTCGATCTCTAAGATCTTTAATAATAATTCCCAAGGGGATATTGTCCGTTCCGCTCTCAATGCGCACTGTGCTGCGCTCTCATTCGCCACTTCCCCCGTCGTGCACCTGATCTGGTACAACCAAATATGCTCAACAGAAGCATGTCTACGTCATTCAATTTCACAAACAAGGTTTAGCATTCTGTCACCTCCTCTCAATACTTTGAAACGATGACAAACCCAGAACTTCGGAAATATTTGATAAAAAACAGTTTGAGCTGAAATAACACTATAAAAATATTACATGGTCAGTGTGGGCAAACGATCCATCCATCAAAGTCTGTGCATCTGTAATTATTATTATAAAGTATGCACCTCTTCCCGTATTTTACACTCACTACGTTTTTGTTTTGGTCCACCTAGTAACTAATCAATTTCGAAAATTATCATCAATATTGCTTATAAAATTAACTCCCCCCCCCCACTCCTCTTGATTTTTACATCTTGTTGTTTTATGCGCTTCTCGTTTTTTTATTTTTAAATCCCATAAAACAGTAAACTTTACAGATCTCTGTTTGCATAAAATATGCTCATTGAATGTTTCCTAAAATAACTTTTTGGGTTTTTTTTGCAAATTTCTTTTATGTAAAACATAACATTAAAAAAATTAAATAACGCCTGACATGAATTTATAAACATATTGGAAATGTAATTGTTCAAAAATTCCCAAACCAATGTTGACAAGAAGAATGTTTGTGTCGATATTGTGGCGAGTTCGGACCACGACGGCGCCGGGGGCGTCTGACCAGGGATCACAATTGACTTGACCAGGGATCACGATCGACTGATCAAAGCGCACGGCAGATCTCGCAGCAGGGTTACCGGCTATCTGACCAGGTACAGCCGGTGCCATCTGACCAGGGATCACGATCGACGGATTAAAGCGCCTGGGGGCGGTACCGGCCATCTGACCAGGGTATTTTCCTGGGACGACTGGATGGTAACCTGGCGCCGACTGATCAAAGGGGCGGCGCGAGTACAGACCTGGGGAAGGAACTCTATGAACCAGTGACTTATAAATAGGGACCTCTGGACGGGACGGAGAACGCGGCCGGACAGAGAAGCAGACAGTCAGGGAGAGCTCTGACGGTATGAGAAGAGGGCATTCAGAGTTGTGAGACGAGAGAAAGTATAAGCGAAGTGTCAGCCTACTAAAGAACAAGATTATAATCATCAGATGTTATCGCCTGAGTTGTTTCCTTAGTGAATGCCAGATATAGATGAAGGTTAGCAGAGAGTAAGCAAGGTTTCCTTACAATATTTTAATTGGTGCACTGAAACTTTCCCGTCAAATCTTTTTTTTTCCTCCATTTAACCCAGGTTATGTGAATGAATATGACAAGCCGCTGACCTACACGTGCCCAGGGAATGGCGTCATAGCCGGAGTCGAGAGTATCAACGACAACTACTATGAAGACCGTCGCTTCAAATTCACGTGCTGCGACGTGTCGCTGAGAGTCCCGGTGGAGTGCAGCACCACAGACTACATTAACAATTTTGACGGCAAGATGACCTTGCTGGTGCCCGAAGGACAGGCCGTTAAGAGCATCTACAGCTGGCATGACAATTACTACGAGGACAGACGTTGGAAAGTTCAACTCTGCCAAGTCTGAGCCATGTTTGAAGCACTTGGGAAAGGAAAGAAAATTATCTGAATTCATCTTTATTAAATCGTATGGAATTTAATTTAGCGTCTTTAGCTAAACTTACGTCAGTTTAGAAATGTAAATTTATGAGAGATAAAATCTAAATAAAGTAAGAAAACAAGATTCTCATAATGTGTTAAAAAATTCCTTTTCTTCGCTCACTCTTTTTCTGCACCCATTCCTTTTCTGCACCCATTCCTTTTCTGCACCCATTCCTTTTCTGCACCCATTCCTTTTCTGCACCCATTCCTTTTCTGCACCCATTCCTTTTCTGCACCCATTCCTTTTCTTCACCCATAGTCCTTTTCTTCACCCATTCCTTTTCTTCACCCATAGTCCTTTTCTGCACCCATTCCTTTTCTTCACCAATAGTCCTTTTCTGCACCCATTCCTTTTCTTCACCCATAGTCATTTTCTTCACCCATTCCTTTTCTGCACCCATTCCTTTTCTGCACCCATTCCTTTTCTTCACCCATAGTCCTTTTCTGCACACATTCCTTTTCTTCACCCATAGTCCTTTTCTTCACCCATTCCTTTTCTTCACCCATTCCTTTTCTTCACCCATAGTCCTTTTCTTCACCCATAGTCCTTTTCTTCACCCATTCCTTTTCTTCACCCATAGTCCTTTTCTTCACCCATTCCTTTTCTTCACCCATAGTCCTTTTCTTCACCCATAGTCCTTTTCTGCACCCATTCCTTTTCTTCACCCATAGTCCTTTTCTTCACCCATTCCTTTTCTTCACCCATTCCTTTTCTTCACCCATAGTCCTTTTCTTCACCCATAGTCCTTTTCTGCACCCATTCCTTTTCTTCACCCATAGTCCTTTTCTGCACCCATTCCTTTTCTGCACCCATTCCTTTTCTGCACCCATTCCTTTTCTTCACCCATTCCTTTTCTTCACCCATAGTCCTTTTCTTCACCCATTCCTTTTCTGCACCCATTCCTTTTCTGCACCCATTCCTTTTCTTCACCCATAGTCCTTTTCTTCACCCATTCCTTTTCTTCACCCATAGTCCTTTTCTGCACCCATTCCTTTTCTGCACCCATTCCTTTTCTGCACCCATTCCTTTTCTGCACCCATTCCTTTTCTGCACCCATTCCTTTTCTGCACCCATTCCTTTTCTTCACCTGTTCCATTTTCTTCACCCAGTCGTTTTCTTCACCCAGTCCCTTTCTTCACCGTTACTTTCGTCTCCCATTCCTTGTCAACAAGTTTCAGTTGGAGAACAAACTTAAAGACAAGTTACTTGAAGAAAAATGCGCATGAAAATATTCCTGTAGTATATCTGCACGGTATTCCCACTGCCAAGAAAGTCTAAGACCCTACATACACAAGCAGATACTGAAAGCGTTATAATGTATTTATTTTTAAAGTGTTTCAGAGAAAGGCGCATCAGAAATCAACACACAGAAAACAAGCGCATACACAAAGAGGCACACCAAAGAGAGCTTTATGAATATATTTATGATAATAAATGTAAGCCTCCAAAACAAAGATAATAAATAGCAGCAAACAAAGAAGAACAGTGATCATGGAGCGTGCTTTAAATGAAAGGCGGAGGTGGAGGTGCGGGTTCCTCCGTGTTAATAGGGTAGGAGGAGGAGGGGCGGGTTCCTCCGTGGTAATGGGGTAGGAGGAGGAGGGGCGGGTTCCTCCGTGGTAATGGGGTAGGAGGAGGGGCGGGTTCCTCCGTGGTAATGGGGTAGGAGGAGGAGGTGCGGGTTCCTCCGTGGTAATGGGGTAGGAGGAGGAGGGGCGGGTTCCTCCGTGGTAATGGGGTAGGAGGAGAAGGGGCGGGTTCCTCCGTGGTAATGGGGTAGGAGGAGGAGGGGCGGGTTCCTCCGTGGTAATGGGGTAGGAGGAGGAGGGGCGGGTTCCTCCGTGGTAATGGGGTAGGAGCAGGAGGGTTGGCTCTCTCCCGTGGCTCCGGGGTAAGAGGAGGAGGGGTAGTCTCCGCCCCGGACTCATCACTTGATGATGGTGTTCTACGCCGATGGGTTCTCCTCCGATGATAGCGAAGAACCCGTCTGCGTATTTTTTTTATACACCAAGGACATCAGCTCCTTTTTTGATAAAAGAGTTTATCTACTGCCGCCGTGCTTCATTGGGCAGCCACCAGCTCCTCAAAGGTTTCCGCCATCACACAGGAGTGACCCGATTGGTTGCCCTGCTCCTCAATACAACCGGTACAAAATTGATAATGGTCTTGTACACCTTTCCACAGTTTCTTGACTATTTTTCATGAAGCCATTCCTAAAAGAGAATATAAACAATATATAAACATTGCAAATAGATTCATTCTAAGACAATACCACACAACTTAACTAGTGATGGAACTTATGTGGAAACATCCCTTTACATCGGGGGGGGGGGAGGACAGAGAATGTAGGTCGCTTCACGTAGCCTAACTAGGAGCAATAGTCTCAGAAGAAGGCTCCAAGCCCGATTAGATGTCCAGGATTGCGCAGACTACATCAGCACTAAAGAAGCTCAAGAAAATATGGAATGAGAAAAATATGGCCCCCACACCAAAATCAGGCTGATGCGCTCATTAGTCCTCTCCATTTTCCTGAATGCCTGCGAATCCTGGACATTAACAGCCGATCTTGAAAGGAAAATAAAGGCGATGGAGATGAGATGCTTCAGAAGCATTTTGGCATCTGCTATAGGGACCATATCTCCAATTATTTATTATACAGTGAAAGAAAGGGTTCGTCAGGCTATTGGGGAGTACGATGACCTACTGGTGACTGTGAAAAAACGCAAACTACAATGGTACGGCCACATAACAAGGAAACAAGAGCAACAAGAGCTTGCCAAAGAAATATTGCAGGGCTCCACAAGAGGAGGGAGAAGAAGAGAAAGACACAGAAAAAGATGGGATGATAACATCAAAGAGTGGACAGGACTAACACTAGGCGATGCTATGCGTAGCCGTAGTGGAGAAGACAGAGATGAATGGAGGAGGATAGTTTACATGTCATCTGTGGCGCCCCAACGGTCCATGGACTAAGGGACATGATGATGAGGATGAGGAGGGGGGGTGCGTAAATAATTTTGTTGTTTTGCCTTGGGGGCCAAATATTCTCGCTACACCACTGCTTTCCACACCCTGGTCCTGATCCCCTCAGCCTCACCCCACCAGTGTCACCAGGGCAGGGAATGTGAAATGTGGGCACCCATAATTTACTTATAGCTTATTATACTTATATTGTACTTTAACTTTACCAGGCCTATTGATTTTACGAGGGAAATCTGCAAATTTGTTTAAGAGATCTAGAAAGAGAATAGTTGGTTATTATAGTTGGCGGATTAATTGATAATCTGACACAGCTGCAAGTAATGTATTGTAGGAAGCATCTTTAGATATAAATGTTGCTCATTCACATTGTCTGGCCGGTTAGCTCAGTTGGTTTAGAGCGTCGTGCTAATAACGCGAATGTCGTGGGTTCGATCCCCATACTGGCCAATTTTATTTTTTCCTAAAATTTGAGACTTATCAGTTGTATCTTGGCAAACTTAGAAAACGCTCCAATTTGTCAATTACTTTTATTCGATAATCATGATATAAGATTTACTATTTAACGAAAATTTTGTAATAAAAAGGTTTCGGGGACTATCACTTTTTTTCCTTACCATATTTCGTTTTTGAACTACGCATGAAATTTTCTTTTTAAAAGATAATGGATTCTTGGTGTAGTACCCCAACGAATAATAGTAATAATTCTTTTGAAAATGTAAACGGTAAACGATTCCCCGCGTATTTTAATCAATGGCGTGGGAAAGGGATGCGAAGGGGGTCTTCCAGGTGGCATTTTTTTAGTTTTGTTCTCATGGACAGTATTTTCGGTCAACTGCAGAGTTTTTCTCGTTGAAGGTGGACGTCAGAGAGCTTGGTCCACTCTTGGCTGCACCTTCCCTATCTACGCCACTGCTGTTACTGTAATGCATTATCCTTATTTTCGTTGCTTTGGACCGGAAGTTCCGCTTCTCGAACATTTTTTTTTTAAAGTTTCACTTGGGGCGAACCTGGAGTCGGATTAACATCAGAATGGGGGATTGGGGGGGGGGGGGGAATTCCATACGGGGGGATTAAATGCTATGTATCTATCAGAGTGAATTATTCAAAGTTAATGCCATGGGTTCCCATATTGTTTTTTTTAAACTGTATTTTCATGTTTGATGTTCTGATTATTACTTAACAAACGCGCCTTTTCCATTTTTTCGGTGCATACTTGCACATATTATATGTAACGCGAAGGGGATGAGAGGGTGGCTTGTCATTTTGTGTTATATGGGTGGGGTGGGTTTGTGGATATCAATGCATGTAACATCTCTTTTTATTTCTTGATTTTTATTCATTCTAATTTTTGAAAAAAATTCTTCATTTTCAAGGTTATGAAAATAGCCTTGATTGTTAAAAATAAATAAATGTATTTTTTGCTTACAATATTTTTTAAGGCGTCGTCCGTCACAATGTGACAATGGTGTTGACGTCACTGGACGAAATCACAAGGCCTAGGAGAGACAGAAAATCCCATTCTCTCAAAGCACACGGATAACCCAAGGGAACATCATATGTGGATGATACAGCTTGGCACCAGTAGCATCGCGGGAGTTTGGGAATTGCCATTGTGTCAATGTTATCCGCCTACGGAACTCCACATCTCCAGGATTGAATGCAGAGTTTTCCTTCTCATAGATGAGTTGCCGTCCAATGCTAATGAGTCAGGGGTCCTGGTGATGTTTCTGCGTGTCTAGGCTTTGACTTTGATGGGGATTGTACTCCAGACCACACGCTTCTTTAAAAAAAACAACAATAAGAACATTTTTTTATAAGACCTGTCTTTTTGCTTGAAATTAGCTTTTAATAAATATATTTTTTTTTTTAAATTTTCTTTTTTTTTTCCTTGTTAGTCTCTATACGGCTTTTTTTTCTGACAAACATTTGCTAGATATGTTATATAATACTATGGTAAGGGATGCTTCAAAAAGTGTGAAGAGCCGTGTTTTATTTATTTGTTTAAAACATAATTTGTTTCTAGAGAATTTTAGAAACTGAAGTTCACACGTGAAAGTTAAAAAGTGAAAACAAATATTATATTTAAGACTAATTGTTGCTGTTTGTTTTTTAAAATATAATTCACTAAAGCAGTGAACCGAAACAATTAATATGAGCCTCATTATAAGACACTTTGATCACATTTTTAAAAAAAATAATGAAGAAAACAAACAAATTTAATATAAAATAATGCATTTATTTGCACCCATAGGCGTTGCGTGACTTTTGGCTTAGGAGGCCCTCTGCCGTTATTCGCTTTCGTGCCACATGCATTAAATCATCATCATCATGTCCCTTAGTCCTTGGACCGTTGGGGCGCCACAGATGACATGTGAACTATTCTATTCCATTCATCTCTGTCTTCTCTCATAGCATCGCCTAGTGTTAGTCCTGTCCACTCTTTGATGTTATCCTCCCATCTTTTTCTTTGTTTTCCTCTTCTTCTCCCTCCTCTTGTGGTGCCCTGCAATATTTCTTTGGTAAGCCCTTGTTTCCTTGTTACGGGGCCGTACCATTGTAATTTGCGTTTTTTCACAGTCACCAGTAGGTCATCGTACTCTCCAATTGCCTGGCGAACCCTTTCTTTCACTGTGTCATTTGAGATATGGTCCTTAAAGCAGTTGCCAAAAATGCTTCTGAAGCATCTCATCTCCATCGCCTTTATTTTCCTTTCAAGATCTGCTGTTAATATCCAGGATACGCAGGCATATTGGAAAATGGAGAGGACTAATGAGCGCATCAGCCTGATTTTGGTGCTGGGGGCTATATTTTTGTCCTTCCATAGTTTCTGGAGCCTCTTTAGTGCTGTTGTAGTCTGCGCAAATCTGGACATCAGTTCGGGCTTGGGGCCTTCTTCTGAGACTATTGCTCCTAGGCATTTGAAGCGGCCTACAGTTAATGGTTTAAATTTTTGTACATCACAATTTTGGGGCCTTTAAACATTTGAGGCCGCACGCAGCAGGCGGGGTTGCAGCGTCTACGCGACGGCTCGGCAAAATTGAACCATATAGATTATAGATTATCTCGGTTAGAATTTTAGTCTCGGTAAATGGGTAACTCTGGTTAAAGTTGTGACAAGAAGACTAGAGTTAGAGGAAACTCAGGATAGTATTTCAACTTTACAATTCATTTTCAAGTACAAATTGATTTCATAATTATAGTCAATATTTTACAACCTTATCTACAGTTCTAATGGGCGAATTTCAGAGGATACGACCTTTCAAAGTAAGTAATAATTTTAAATTTCAAGTGATAGCAGATAGTTGAGGTAGACCCAATGAGGCCAATGCCAATAGTCAATTGTCTGATCATGATCTTATAATATAGATAATTTGGATGGGATAATTTGGCTTATAAATAAGTAATACAAAGTTAAAAAGATTATGCCAGATTGTAGAATGCATTAAATAACAATAACACTTAATTAATACTATTAGGCCTAGGCACTAGACTACTAATAACTAATAAATGGCCGATGATTAAACTTATTAAGCTAAGACTAAGTAAGTAAAAAATGACCAAATAAATGAAAAATACCGTATTTTCCGGCGTATAAGACGACTGGGCGTATAATACGACCCCCTACTTTCCTGTTAAAATCTAGGCCTATAAGACCACCTCCGGCGTATAAGACGACCCCCGACTTTTGAAAAGATTTTCATGTGTTAAAAAGTCGTCTTATACGCCGGAAAATAAGGTAGTAAAAAAACATAACATTAATAACATGCTAAAATTGGTCATGATTTAGTATAGGTCTATGTTACACTATGTAGTGTGGTCTAATTTTAATATTATGACACTCACACAGAGTGACTGACTCCACAATAACAATAGTGTTTGTCATTTCTATGACAAAATTTTAAATACTGCAGAATAATTGTGAACTGAGTCACACTGAGTGAATTCATTTGGCTTAGATTAGAGCACCTAGAGTAGAGTACTTAGAGCTAGATCTAGAGCTGTTTTGTGTTATCGCTTTGAGGGGGATCTGGAATTTATGACAAACTTTGATTGGGATCGAATAAATGGGGAAAATATTTAAATGTCTTTATGTTGATGTCATAGTTAAGTAATCTGTTAAAATTTACTCATACTCATACTCACTCCTCATGCTGTGACATAGTCTATATCTACTCAGGCCTACTGTGTTACTTTATGACATAAAGTTTATGCAATGGTCCAAGGAATACCACTTCTGTTTATTGGCTGTTTCTGTAGGAGCACTCTGCAGGATCAGGTTTCTTTTTGGCATATCCTATTCTAATGAGTATTTTTTTGCCACGGCCGCAGGCCTCAGGAGTTTTTCAGCCTTACTGTGGTTTTTATTTTCCCTTGGCTGGCCCACCTTATCCATCTTATCATCCTTACTTTCGTTTAACGCGGAAGTGTGGTGACATTTTTACAGATAAAAAGATATGCATACAAAAATTATTTAGTTTCAGACATTCTACCATCTAAATCCAAATATCGCTGCACATACATCTGGATGATAATGCTATTAATACCTTTAACTTTAAACAAGGCATGAAATGTGACATTTTTTCTTACCTTTTTATTACATATTTGACAGAATTGTTAAAATTAATTTTCCACATTTGCAATTAGTAATTTTCACTTGAAATTGCAGATTCTGTCAGTAGTGATGGTGACAATTGCCATTGTACTGACAGTAGTATCATTAGTTGGTCCTGACTGGGTGAGTGCGTCATTTTATGAAGGTGATGTCAAGTCATGGGGACTTTGGTGGGACTGCTTAAAAGTTCATGCTTCCTTTGAGATGTGTCTTAGTGCAGGTATATTGACAGTGATTAATTTATTTTATGAAGTGCAAGCACTGTTAAATGGCCAATTTTATGTATATAATGACACAGAAGGAATTTTGAAAGAAAAAAATCTCATTCATTTCAGCTATTTTCATAAATAATAAAACAATTGGGTAATAATTTGAGAGGCTGCCAATTGTGAAAATTAAGTAAAATTTTTCAGAGACTGGTGTAATTTTCTTATTTTACCTTTTTTAAAAGACTTTGTAAAGGTTGTTTTTTTAGGTAGTGAATTGTAACCTTTTTTGGTTCTTTTTGTAATCTTAGACTGGCTGGCAGCATGTGCAGCAATGGTGTTTCTCTCACTTATTGCTGACTTCTTGGGGGCGGCTTTGGGTGTTTGGGGTTTGAGCTCCAAGAGGCGCCTCCCATGTGTTCTGGCTGGTGGTGTGTGTATTGTGTCATGTACGTCATTGTAATTTTCTCAATTTATTTTTATAAAATTATTGAATTTTTAGTCCAAGTAGATAATTTACCTATGATATTAATTGCATTTCACTGTAGATTTCAAATATTTTCAATTAACTATCTATCACATGGCAAATAATTTTTATGCAAAACAAGAAACAAAAGCTTCAAAACAAAAGTTATCAATCTTTTTGTGCAGATTATTCACACAGCAAACCTGTTGTTAAGTTATAGTCTATGCTCCAGTGTTAAATTAAACAAAAATTGTTGCTTATACTTTACTTGCTTATTTTCCCTGCAGGTATTTGCATGGTCATCAGTCTCATCATTTACCCTGTTATGTTTACTAAGGAGGTATCAACATCATATTATTTTCATACTTAATTTTCTCTAAAGCAAAAGATTGCTGGCATTAAAATTGATTAAAGGGATATATATAGAAAAAGGAAGAAAAAAAATATTGTTACGTTACAAGAATATAAATCAACCTAGCTGTAAGATAACAAATGAAGGTCTGTAATAAATTCAATGCAAGGTAGAGCTTTTTCTATTATTTATTTACATTTTTAAGAAAGAATTGCTTTAATAGTTACCTCACAAGTTCATTTTTTGTCCTGCTTATGTAATAAACCACTAAACAGTATTCTTCGCTTTGTCATTTTCCTTTTATGTTTTAATCCTTGCCATTTCTTTCTTCACCACCGACCAGGTAAGAAACAATCCAGATTATAATGCAGAGACATCAGACTTTGAGTTCTCATGGACCTTTGGAATAGCCTGTGGTACAGTTTTCTTTCTCATGGGGGCTTCCATCTTCTTCTTCATCAGAGTAAGTGAAGAGGAGGACGCTCAGCCAATGAAGTCTGTCCAAGACAAATCGTATTACAAAGTCATGTAAGGACACAGACTTTTGAAGAGTACTTAAAAATCTGGTCAATTTCATCCATATGAGCTTATGTCGTACGTGAAATAATTCAATTTTTATGTCTCAAAGTCAACACCTTTTTTAATGCATAAATGATTTAATAATCTTTACCCTATGTCACGTAGGCTTGCTTTTTTGCTGAAAGATTAGATTTGGATGTAAAATGTGTTACTCTGAGTATATTTAATATCAGACCCTATAAAGTTATTAAAATAATTGCTTCTTTGTTTTAATTTTAAAGAGAACATACAAAATACAAAGAGAAACACTCATTCGGGATCAGAGATGGGAGATAATGACACCAATAAGTTAAGGCGGGGCATTCAGGAGTTTGTTCATTTTACATTTTTTACAATTAATTTACTTCGAGATCATGGGCCATCCTTATGTTATATATACACTGAGCAGGACGGGTTGGCAGACAGATCTGAAGTCCTGACAAATGCACACAAAATGAAAATTTATGACAGGTTTGGAAATAGAATCAAAGAAGAAATTTTATGTTATAATGCGGATAAATAAAATTATGTGCTTTTTTTTAATGTTATTTAACATGTAATAATTTATTCATCAAGCCAGTATTGTGTTTCAAAAGATTTTTTACTCTCAGATGGACAATGAAAAATGCATAATGATATATTATATGATATATTATATGGTGCTTATAATCTTAGAAAATAACCAAGTTTAAAGCAAGTATTTACAATAGTTTACCATTTATGTAAATAACTCTGTTTTCAGAATATCCAATGCCAGTAGATGGCTTCAATGTTTGTTTGAAGATCATTTTAGCTTCCTACTATGGCAACACTATATATCTAGTCAAAAAAAACTTATTTGTGTGGTTTATCCAGAAATATTAACCCTAGAGATGATTATTCTGCAGCTTAATTTAGTAGACATTGTTGTGTTGTTTATGGTTTTAACAATGAAATAGTGAGTGGCTTTCCAGCATAATCATACGCAATTTTAGAACCTAAAATCTGTTATGGTGACTTCTCTTTTTTCTAAAATTCCCTGTGAAAATGATTTCATTCAGAGTTTTTTGTTTATTTTAAAGTCGTTATGTTATTGTAATAATTATACCATTGATTTACATATCAATTAAAAAGTCTGGGAATTCCTTGTTTTAAAGAGACGTCACCATCAGCAGTCAAATATACTGCAAATGTTGTTTATTTTGTGTTATTTTGTTCCAAAAATTTGAACTGACTTGTGTTAATGGTAATTTTTCCCCAAGATTTATATTTATGTTCTTAGTTTCGAATTTTAAGACTTAATCAAAACTGAGGTTTACTTAATCCCACATTCTACTGATCGTGTTCTGTAGATCTCACCTCTCATTCCCGTACTTTTTCGTACTCCAGGCTTTCCCTAAACTAGACACAAGGCATCCAGTGTCACTGTGATCATTCAACTTATTGTTGACTGCTTTGACGTACATTCCGCTGAGACTTTTTTTCTCATCAATTTGTTCTTACTTTAAAAAAAAAAAAAATTTCTTAGAGAATCTCATTTTTTACATATTTTTTTTTAGAGGCAACTGATATATAAAAGGGGGGGCGTTTAAATTATTGTGATTGCTTCTTCATTGAGATGTATTGTGTTATAAATAGTTTTACTTTCAATTTCAAACATTGTGAGGAGAAGTTTATTGATAATTCTCTTGTTTGTTTCTTTATGTGTAAATAATGTGCCGTTTTTTTATTTTTATATAATAGAGGGTCAGAATAAAAATAAAAATAATCGAATGGAGGTAATAAAATTTTTACAGATTTTTAAATGTCATCAATATTAGACTACCTCTAAGCCATTGCTTGAGATAAATTATTTAAGTTGTGTTCAAAAAATTTAATGTTTTATTAGGCATAATAGTGAAACGTATTTTGTGTGTCTATGTACAAATTTTTTTCCTCAATCAAATCTCAGTTATTGAGAAAAATATTTTTATGCTATCACAAAAATAATTGTAAATGAGCTGATAATTTAACAGAAAATATACTTGTAGATTTGTATGATTATTTTGAAAAAAAGTGCATTTCTTGTTCAATAGAGAGTCAGTACCATAGACAACTGTTACTATTATTTGTCTACTTAAGATTTTTTTTATGTCATATGTTGAGAAATTAAGTAAATAACCCAGTTGTATAAAATAAAAAGAAACATTTCTATGGGAAGAAAAAAATTAAGTTAAGATAAATCTTATTAATGTCACTAATCTAATCTTCTGAGGGATATTACATAATAGGCATTGTATGTAATTTGATGTAACAAAAAATTGCTGTTGACAGCAACAAAATAACAGCTTGTGACCGTCTCATTTTAAAATAGTGCTACACCTTATTAAAACTATTCATCATTTTTCTTGAGACAACCCACAGAGAAATTGAGTCACTTTGTGTTACATTCAATTTATTGTTTACCTTAGTGCTGGACCAAATTAAAATTGGTATCAATCAATACAAGAGAAACACTTTATTTAGCTAAAATTCTTTGAGCTAATTTTTCATATCACTGGAATATTTGAAAGAGTCCCTTTTGAAATTATATTTGACACATAAATATGATGTAATATATAAAATATTTTTCAATTTTGTAGCTTTAATTTTAAAATGAATTGATTAAAAGTTTGATCTTTTGAGGTTTTTTTTAATAGATCAGGGGTGGGCAAAGTATGGCTCGTGCTCCCTTTAAAAAATTTTTTTTAAAAACGATCATAAAAATGGAGGGGAAAAAAAAGTGTCCTCCCCTGGTATAGAACAGAAGCATGTTTAAAATATTGGACTAGTTAAAAAAATCAAATGTTATTATGTGATATTTAAATGTCTAATACACAAAACTCATTCCGTTTATTTCTTGCTTATATAGCATACTAGAGATCTTATGTTTATAATAAATACAATGAAATTATTCACTTGCCTGATCATGTCAATGATTTTTTTTCAGCAAAATTTGTTATTCAAGAAGATTTTTTCTTTGCAGTCAGTGGTGGTGAAATGTTTTAGGAAAAAAAAATGTATCCCCACTCCAATTTCCCTATATTATTTTATGAATAGTCATATTGAAGTGTATGTAGATTCTACATTGTAGAAGATAGCTGAATTCACTTAATGCTGTTGAAAGATAATTCCACTAATGCCAATGTTTAAAATTTAAATAAGAAAGTTTTATTGTCCCGTAATAATTTTTCTCTGGTTTTCACACAAGTATTTAGTTATAATGTGTTCAAAGTTGTCTGGTTGTTCTCGTTGTGTCAGTGTTATGGAATCCTAGTCACACCGGTTCAATATTGTTAAGATCAGTCTTATTATATAAGCAATGATACATTTTGATAATTTATAATGCGATGATTTCATGTGGAATCTTATGTACTAGGTAATCTCTATTTTTATATCTCCATTTCAGGGGTATTTTAATTTTTTGTTACATAGGATGAATTAGATTCACATATTTTTTAATCTGTTAAGTATCTGGTCGGCGTTATCTTAGTTTTGTGGATAATTGTTAGTTTGCCTGTTGATAGTTTTTATTTTTAAGGTAATGCCTGTAAAAGACTTTTTAAATCTATTCTCATGTTGCAAAGCATTCATAGGCATCAGAATCGGATAATATATTAAAATGTAGTTACTCAGCAAGACAAAATATGCATCAAGAAAACATTGAGGTAAAAGGCAAGATCTGGATCTCTGAGGAGGATGTCTAAGTAGGGATAACTTGTTAATATTTTTGTGTAAAAATGTTCTATCCCCTCAGACTTACTTTTCTAAGACACTTTTATTGGTCTATGATTAAACCTGGAATTATGCAGTATGTGTTTTAGTTAAATATAATCATCATCACCAGATAAACAATGACATCTCCACTGTGTTGATGATTTAGACCTTATAGAGCAAACTTGGTTTAATCAAATGGCATTTGAAGTTTTTTTTTCAAGTAAAGATGCTTAAATTCAAATAGAATTGCATGTATTGATGTATTTTAAACAGACTGAATTTTGACATTTTTGAAGACCTGAGAAAGTGTATTAGTATTAGCATTAGTCATAAACAAACGTTTTTTAAGAATTGAAAATCTAGCAGCTGTTTCATTTTATGAGTTGTACCAAAACAGATATTAAATATATATATGCCATCAGTCCAATATTGTCACGTAATTCTTACAGTCTTTGGTTTAAATTAAGTTTCAGCATTAAACATTTATTTATTTTTTTAAAAATTTATTAGCTAGAAATTCATAAGAAGAGATCCTGAACTTAACACCCTTAGTGTTATATCAATAGAAAACTTGTTGAAATTTCATTCAAGATTTTTAATATAAAAGTATGGAGGGTTTAGCTTCAAAGGAAGCTTTTATTGGTGAATAAACTAGACATTATAATGATGATATTGATAGATGGTGAACACTCAAAACACATAAAGCTTAAAAAGTAAAAGAGTTGAGATCATTTCTCAAGCTTAAATTTAAGAGTTTTTGAAAGACATTCTAGATATAAATGCAGATTATAAGTTACAATGAAAATGTTGAACACATTGAATACAAGAAGTGCGATACATACAACTGGTGTAGATTACATTGCCAAAAGTGGCAGAAAGTAACAGTCTAAATTAACCATTTATAATAATAATAATAATTAATAAATTCATATCAAAATCTAAACAGCCTCTATTCTGTAAAACAAAAAGTTATACATAAAACAATATGTAACAAATAGAGTTTTCTATGTCTGTATCACAACGTTGCCAAATATGACATCTGAAGCAAGGGGCATTATATTTTAAGTAGTTGGTGTTTGTAGAATTCACTTTCCACACAGCAGGAAATCAAATGGCTATATTGCTGGATGCCAACCAGAAGAAAGACAAAGCAAGGAAAGCCCTGGAAGACTTGGAGGGAGGCATTAAAAAAGGACCCCCCAGACGTTGGGCACAGCCTTGCGTAAGCTGGAGAATTGGCAGCAGAGAGTTGGAAATATTTGTTTCCCAATTATCTACACAATGTGCCAAGAACTAACTAATTTATGTCCATTAGATCAAATAAATGGGGAAAACATATAATTGTTCATTGGTTTAACTCTAGCTTTAACTATAATATAAATATGCTTACAACAGCTGATATTGCGTAGTACTATCATCAACTTAAAGAATATATACCTGATTAACTTATAACAATTGAATATTTCAAGTACCTACATACAATAAGTAAGTAAATGGGTTTTAGGTTAAATTGGCTCTTATACAGTAGTTCATGCATTGTAATGATGATCCATACTCATCCACAAAAATTGAGGAAACAAACACAATCTAATTCTATTAAACATAAGTTTAAAGCTTTTTTCTAAAGCTTTTCTTTTCTTGTGATTTGTTTTTGGTTAATTTTTTTTTCTAGACACTAACACATAAAAAAAAAAGCCTTGTGCAATTATTTCCCACTAAAACCACTTTAAGAGCCGCCAGACTAATACTTCGGTCAAATTTGAAAATGACACTATCTAAACTACATGGCAGTGATGAAAATCAGAGTTTAAATCAAGACATCTATAAGGTAAGTGGTTCTAACATCGGTTTGCCAGCAATCATGTCGGATGCTTTCTCTGCAATCATGATTGTTGCAGCATTTGTATTTCCGGATACAATCCATGGCATAATGGAGGCATCCACCACACGTAATCCATTTATTCCTTGGACTCTGCAGAGAATATACATTTTAAAAAATGCTCATATTTTTCATTTGTCTCCTTACATAAAATATCGGCCTCTCAGAGTAAATTCTTATTTCTTCGAAGCCACAAAATTATTAATTTAAAAATTCAATATGGGTTAAAAGGAACCCAAACCCATTCACATTATTATTTTTGTTTAAATAAAATCAATGAGGGATATTGAGTGATATTTTTAAAAAACTGTCTAAGTGAAATATTTTATGATTGCAAGAATTCACTCTCCATCCCCTTTCAAATAATTTAACATTCAATTTGTGATAAGAGCAGAGCTTGGCATTTTAAGCTCTTATTTTCAATACTTTCTAGTATATTATGCATAAAGCTATGATTACAGAAAATGTAAATGTAAAATTAAGTAATGGGCCATTTTGTTTTTTTTAAAGCCTGAATGAATAAATAATTTATCCATATAATTATAACAATGTTAAGGGATGAAACAATCCATACTTAATTTTTAAATTATTAGTGGTTTCCCTTTTGACATAATTTTTTTTTTTTTAATGCCATATTTATTTATAGACTAATTAATTAAACAAAGGGCAAGTGGTTGGGGTATTAGGTTCAACACTCTGCTGTCATGCATTAAAGATCTGGTTAAATTCCTGGTCCATGTAACTTTAAGTTTTGTTTTTTAAATCTCCTTTTTTTTTTAGTTTTTCATTCTTTAAAGTCATCAATATGTCTTCCGAACATCACAAATAAGTTGAATTGTAAAAAGTTACAAATAAAACAAGAAGAATTCCAAATTATAAGAGTGTTGGGCTGCGATAAAGCTTTAACGTAGATTAATTAAAGACAAACAATGTGTGAACATAAAAAACTATATGTTCAACAAAACAAAAAAACATTCACATACATAAAAATTAAATTTACATAATATTAAATTTATATTTATATGAATGTTTTTTTGTACCGGTACTGATAAAGGCATTTGCCAAAATGTCTACCTTGGTATTTTGTATAATCATCATTCAAGCTGAACATATATTGTTTTAATTCCACAAATTTTTTGTCTCTAATTAATCTAAGAAGAATGCCAGCAAACTTTCTATTTCTGTTGCCATCATTCTGACACTAAGGCAGCCATTCATACAAGATCCACTTACTTTAAGTCGGGTCCAACAACAGCTGTTGAGTCTCCGAGAGGACCCATTTTGCATGTGCCGACAGGGTGATATACAGTCACCGGCCTCAGTTTTAGCAAGCACTGCCAATGCTCATGGGAGTCATACCTGTGTTCTGAACAAGGACCCGGGGCAGTTTTTTCAGCAAACTCTGCTCCTATTTCACTCATTGCCTTTGAGCTGACTATCTTCTTGCACTCATTTATCCCTGGTAAGATATTAAAAAAATTTAGTTAATACTTTATTAAAAGGTTTTCTTCTGATCAAAGCCAAATTCACATAAGATTCATGCAACAAAAATAACGTTTTTGCAACAAAAAATGTTTGTACAGGGAAGGCATTGTAAGTATTCCAATAAGCTTGGCTAGTACAACCTTTCATACAAGTATATTATGCATGCCAGGTGAAATGATGTTCTCCTCTTTTGTTTCTATTTTAATCATTTTCAGATCTGCATATCATGTTTATGATTTTATGCATGGTTTTAGCTTGCTTATTGAAAACATACATTTTCTATGCATTCAAAAGTGCGCTGTAATAAAATAAACCAGGATTTAAAAATTTTTTGTCAAAATTTCTGTCAGTGTAGAATTTCCTTTATTTAGATTAATCCATTTATTTGTTGCAATTTTTATAACATTTGAGTTCAATATCAAAGTTGATTTTTTTTTTTTTATTACTTATTCTATTTGGCTGCAAGAGTTCAATGAAATATATATTTTTTTAAACTATTTAGGCATAGTCAATCAATTTGGGTAGTTCCTAACTGATTGGATTATAATATGGAAAAGCTGTTAAAATTATGGTAATTGCATAAATTAAAAAAAAAATTAATAACATGCTATTATCAAGATTTTTAATTGTAAGTTATATTTTTAAGAAAAGCTGTACAAACTTTCCATAACAATGCCTTTGCTTCAGACAATGTGTGAGAAGTCATTAAATAGACTCACCTGTGAAAGATCCATCTATTTTATAATGAAAAATAATATTAACAGAAATGACTGCAGTGTTGGATTCAAAACCAATCATGTCATTATAGAGATGGCTAAAACTGCTTGTGTGTACAAGTTTGGTGACAGTGGGGGGGGGGGGGGGGGGGGGGGGGGGGGGGTGTTGAATTAACAAACCTCTGATAAGTAATTCAATATCTTCCTGACGATCAAGATAATTGGCTCGTATCACCGGATAATCAAATGGGTCATTGGATCGCAGTGTGATGACACCTCTACTCTCAGGCCGAAGCAGGATAGGTAAGCATCCAAATCCATGATCAGAATTAACATTGTCAGACATCTCAGCTTTTATCTGACAAATCAAGAAATAATCATTCAAATAAGAATGTTTGTATATTTTCTTATTCTCCTTAATAAAAGACTAACATAAGTGCAATATCATGAAATCAACCATTGATATATCATGGAATCAACCATTGCTATATCATGGAATCAACCATTGGCATATCATGGAATCAACCATTGCTATATCATGGAATCAACCATTGCTATATCATGGAATCAATCTTGGAATATCTTGGGCTGAGGGTAACTCATGAGCCAATAAATTAAGGTTGAACCCGATAACCATGGCAAATTTGTGAATAAAATGTTTGGTAAACTGTATGGAACTACCATTAAATATTATCAAAATGTATGTTAAAATAGATTACTGAGAACATCAATAGCCTCACTTTAACATCAATTTAAATTATATGTTACATTATAAATTATAGGAACACAGTTTATCATTATTCTGATAGGGAAAATTTACATACAGCACAAGAAAAACACATCTTAAATAAAATATGTAATCTATTACATTATTTAAAAAATAAATGTCTTTGATTTATTTTTAAAATATTGTTATTTAAATTCAATCTCATAACTTACTATTTAAATAAAAAGAAATATTTTATTAACTTTTTCAGTTTTTAATGGCAACATATCATTGATAACAGGCCTACCATATTTGTAGCATTTCTTACTGCTGATGGGTCACATGGAACTTACTTCCTCAAGATAATTGAAAATCTCTCTGAGGCGATTGCTAGGTAACATGCTCATAAACACAATCTGCAAGTCTGGCCACGCAAGTTCTTTACTTTCTTTCGTAGTGCTTCTAAAGGCCAAACTTTCAGCAAGCACGGCATTGGTCAAAGGACCTAAAGAGATGTTAAATCTATATATACTAATTCAAAGAAAGTGTCCTGACTGACTGACTGACTGGCACATCAGTGCCCAGCCAAAAGTTTTGAACCTAAGAACATGCAATTCAATAGGTACAAGATTGCTATGTTGTAGCAGTAAGAAACGTTTTTGACAGAGTCCCACCTTAAGGGCTCAAAGGGAATGTGGAAATTAACAACATGTCAAATATGGATAATGTAAAAAGTATTCAAAATTTGTAGTTACATTCCATTTTATAAATTAGGAAAAACAATTTAACAATTTTTACAAAAATTTAGTTCATGTTGGGAAAAATAGTGAAGGAAATTCTTGAAAAAAATTGCTACCTGTTCAGATTCTTCATTAAAAATAAAGCTAAAAAACTGTAATGCGAGAGGCTGGGGTGCATTCACAGTTACAATGAGACATCAAATTGTACATTAGACTTCATTCACAGTTACAATGAGACATCAAATTGTACATTAGACTTCATTCACAGTTACAATGAGACATCAAATTGTACATTAGACTTCATTCACAGTTACAATGAGACATCAAATTGTACATTAGACTTCATTCACAGTTACAATGAGACATCAAATTGTACATTAGACATCATTCACAGTTACAATGAAACTCAAATAGTACATTACACTTTGTAGAGTTTGGATAAAAAGCAAGATTCTTTTTAAAACTATTGAAACAAATCCAAATATCCAAGGCCAACGATGCCACAGGGTGATAAAGATGAGAAAACTTGAAACTTTGTGGATAACAAAGAATGAAAAATTATACTTTCAGCAATTGTTAAGTTTTATATTATTTGTGGTCCACAAAAAAAAACCAATTGTGGCCGCAATGCGTGAACTTTCCAACCTACATTAGTTATATGACACTGTTCACCACTTCCCCTGAACGACATTAATACTCTCACATATCTCAACCCTCAACAACATACCACAGATTTATAACAGCTTATTTAAATTGAGACAATTTTCATAAAACAAAAGAAAACATTACGCACCAAACAAAAGAAAACATTACGCACCAAACAAAAGAAAACATTACGCACCAAACAAAAGAAAACATTACGCACCAAACAAAAGAAAACATTACGCACCAAACAAAAGAAAACGTTACGCACCAAACAAAAGAAAACATTACGCACCAAACGCACTCGCTGTATTTTTAAGAACCTCTTTTAGAGGAGTTATCAGGAATTTTCTTTTGTGTTCTAGTGCTACTGAACCTTAGTGTTAGTGACGGACAATGTTACATAGAGAATTATGTATGTTGATAAGTATTTAAAAATGTTAATTAATTTGTTCAAAATTTTAAATAATTAGATGAAATGGACATTGCCACGTCTTTTTAAGATAAAAATCCTCCCCAATGATTAAATACATCTGTTGTATACCAGTGAAGGCAAACGCATTTATGGATTTTAAAAAGGTGAAGCAATTCAATAGAGCTGGAAAACCAAGTTTAGAAATAATTTAACTTACCAGAGCCAAAAAGCTTGTATTTTAAATATCCCCACAATGAGGTTAGCTCAGCTGTTGTGACAGAGAGAGGCTCTTTGATCTTGACAGCCAACTCAAACAACACATGGTCCTGGAGGTTGGCTCCGACTGGCAGGTCTGCAACAACAGGGATCTGCAAAAAGGTAGACAGTAAGTAACACTTAATTTCAAAATGACGCGGACTGGCGTTTATATGACATAGCAGCGCATTCTGACATGTTTGCTTCCTTCTTAAATGAATAAATAACAGCTTTTAAATGAAAATATCTTGTCAAATGTACAATCTGTCAAATTTTGGTTGTTTTTTTTTTTACACTAATTAATAAATTACAAAAAACAGCAATTTTATAAACAAAATGGACAAAAAGAACAATTTAGATTTAATGAGAGAAAATTCCTTTGTTAATTATGTTAGCTACAGTAACACAGATGCCTGTATTTAAATTAAGGAAGTCAAATCCTTATCATCTGACTTGAATAAGTAGCATCTTAAAACCCTATTTTTCACAGTGACCCGAGGAAAAAGACTTGGATAGCAGTTTTGGGGTTTTTTCTTTTACTGTATGGAGTTTGTGGATATATAACAAGTTAAGGTCCAAAGCTTTGTTTCATTAGCTAAAGTGACAACTGGCGATAACAGCAGAACAAATGCCACAACTATTACCTAATATGCAACGATCACTCCTACAAAAATTAAAATAAAAAACCAGTTAAATTTCCTCACCATTAATTATGATTTATATATCAAGCTCTTTCTAGGTGATATCTTTTTCATTAATGGATAAATAACCAAGTTAATTGCTTTGACATCTACTGTAATTATTAAATATGTACACATTTAAACAGTGTTCACCTTTAGATTTTCTAAATGTTTCTTGGGGCCTACACCTGACAGCATGAGAATCTGCGAGGAACCGATAGTTCCTGCAGACAGAATGACTTCCTTTCTAGCATTTACTATGAACTTCCTGCCATTTTTTATGACGTGGACACCTTCTGCGGTCTTGCCCTTGATAATCACCTAATGGATAAAAAAACAAAGTTGTGCAGAGCCTTAAAAATAGTTTAAAGCAAATAAAACGTAACTTTTGAAGTTGTTTCCATGGAACAATGTTGTTTAAAGAATTTAATTATCCAAGAGATATGAGCCATGATGTGTTTCCATCATGAAGAATGTTACATCTAATATCCATTCATTAAACAAGAGATTTTGATCAAGAGCAAGCATTGCTTTTCATAACTGGAATAGTTACAAAATTCAAATGAATATATTTGTCATAAATTAAAATGCAAAATGTATGTTGCTAACTTAACCAGTTAAAAACTACATCGTAAAATGAATTATAACAATATTTTTAAAAATATTTTTTTTTTACAAGGTTTTCTAGAAATTTACAGAAATTATAAAATAAATGGCCCCCAAAACTTCAGAGTTGGTACTGTCATAAAGAACACAGTGACACACACAAAAAACACTGCTCATCATCTACTGCATCCTGGTGTACTTCCAATCATATTGACTAAGGCTTGGCATGAGAACATTGTTCAATTGTTTTATTTTGTACTTTTTAGTCTTCATTATCATTTTTTTAACATAACTTAAGGCCTGGTTATAGTGTCATCGGGGTGTGGAGGGGGGGGGGGGGGGGGGGGGGGGGGGGGTCGATAAGTGTAGAAAATTTAATCTAAAATGGAGATCAGGATGTGGGTCAAAATTGAGAGGTGAGATTTGACCCACAAAGGTCATTCAAGGGTCAGTGGAGGTCACTACAGAAGGGTTGTATTGAAATGGGGGTGGGTGAGTGTTTTAAGTTTCAGCGCAATGAAAGATCAGGAAGTGGGTCAAAATTAAGATGTAAGATTTGACCAGACTCAAACTAAAAAATTAACGGACAGAGCAACCTAAGAAAAAGTGTGTATTAAAAAAAGCCTCATGCAGCTTGTCCTACCTGCGACACATGTGATTGTATTGAAACATGGACATTTGGCCGGTGGAATGCTGGGTATAAATAGCCACGGGAAGTGCTCCATCGTTGAGCGTGGTTGGAGTTGACTTGAGTGTGTGCTATACCTAAAGACATTTAGATTTTTTTTTACATACCGGTAGATAAAATACTGATTAGAGAATTTTATCCTCGATAAGGTCAGGAAATATTTTGTTCAACAAAGTGAACCTTGATGCTTATGGAAAAAAATATGTAATATAGGCTAAATTAATTGCAAACCACAAGAGACATATTTGTGAAAAAGTTCATTTAGAAATCTAACTAAAATAGCAATAAACAATGAATTTTATATTAGCTTCGCCTTTGTTTCTGGGTGGCTGGCTGACTGGGTGGGAAAATCTTCAGACGGCTGATTGACCCACTTCCTGTAAACCTATTGAGCTAAAACTTGGCACATACACTTGTTGCCAATGACATCACATTTATCAAGTTTTCCGCCCCATCCCCCAACCCAAAACCCCAAAAATCAGTTTTTCCTGTTTTTCAAGAGTAACACGAAGGAAATTCCTGATAATATTTTTATTTTTTTAAAAAATTATGTGCATAATATTTTCTTTTGTTTTTCTGAAATAGTTTGTGAAATAAATCTGTGGTGTAAAAGCCGGTGGGTCATTTGAATTTAATATAGTTCAGGGGCATGAATAAAAATATGCAGTTGAGAGCCTCGGAGTGGGGGAGCACTAGCTGGGATTCTTATACAGTGTGTTACTGGTATGCATATTTTTTCACATTTTCAACCCCCCTCCCATTGCTCCATATTATATTTTACAAAGAATTTATATGAAAAACTATGTTTTAAGGGGTTGTTTAATTATTTTTACTAATTTACTTTTAGTAACATTTCTCTTTTTGTTAAACTAATGGAATCTATTTATTAATTGGTGTAATCTGTTTTAAATAATACCTTCCTGTGATTTTGTTAATACATATAGAATAAAATGAATCATTTGGACAGAGAAGAAAAATCATAGTATTAACATTATATTTCTTATGTTGACTGGTGAATAAAGATTGGTTCAAATGAAAAATAATTTTTTCTAAAACTTGCTAACTCTGTAGTTATTTAAGGAATTGGAGGATTGTAGTTGGGGCATGTCAGTAGGAAAATAAGAAAAGATTGAGGGACATTTTACCTTGGTGAGATCAAAGCAGCATTTATTTTTTCTTAACTTTGCAGAGCAATATTTAAAATAATATTTTTTCTTGCATTTATATTATTATTATTATTATTATCATTTTAAGGTAGTCTTAAATAGCACATTACCCCTGCCTAAGGCAAGGCTCACTGTGCTTCACATAAAAATGAGTAATTACAGAAAATTATACATTTAAAAACAATTGGTAAAAAGCTTGACCTCACCCACCCAATTAACCTCACCTTGGCCTCACCCACCCAATTAACCTCACCTTGGCCTCACCCACCCAATTAACCTCACCTTGGCCTCACCCACCCAATTAACCTCACCTTGGCCTCACCCACCCAATTAACCTCACCTTGGCCTCACCCACCCAATTAACCTCACCTTGGCCTCACCCACCCAATTAACCTCACCTTGGCCTCACCCACCCAATTAACCTCACCTTGGCCTCACCCACCCAATTAACCTCACCTTGGCCTCACCCACCCAATTAACCTCACCTTGGCCTCACCCACCCAATTAACCTCACCTTGGCCTCACCCACCCAATTAACCTCACCCACCCCAATTACTATCTGCCCCTGTCTAGCAATGAACAGTACCCAGCTGCAACAAGCATTGTTTATCAGTTAGAGGGGGCCTGAGAATGAGGCAGTAGAGCAGAGTTTGAAGAGATGTGTCCTGAGGGTAGTTTTGAAGGCTGGGATGTTCGGTATATTTTGGATATGTAATGGGAGAAAATTATATTGTTTAGGGGCACAGAAAGAGATAGATCCTTCACCACGTTTTAGTGCGTGTTCTAGGAACAGAAAGAATACACGTTTCATAAGAGGAACGAAGCTTAATGGGGCGAATAGACAGAAAGAAGTTCAGTAAGATAGGAAGGGCAGGAACCAGAGAAAAGGTTGTGACAGAGTCTATGTGTATGCTTATGTAATAAAATATGATTCTATGGTATACAGCTGCCCATATAATTCTAAACACAATTTCTTTTGGCAACAGTGATTTAACATTAAGACTGTCAACAAGAGAAAAGAAGCCCCTCACCTTCCTGTGTTTTTCCATTGTAATCTCGGTTATACGGGTAGCCAAGACTTTTGGCTGCTTCAATGATTTTACCAACAATAGGATGGGGTTTGCTTTCATGAATGATCATTGGTCCATCATCTCCTCTATAGTCTGTGGAAAGATCACTGCATTAGTCCGATGAATGATTCATAATAGTTTTATGAATATTAACCATTTCAGCACACCAAAGATTTTCCAAATACTTGCAACAAGAAGTTCGTACTATTATTAAGCCGGTGTCAATTTAACACACTGGATGAAACATTAAACAGGCTCACAACCCCTGGGTATATTAAAAGGGTTAAAAGAGTTGAGATAAGGGATTTGAGATAAACGGGATCATCTGTTAGGTTAAACAAAACAATGACTTAGACTGTGATGTAGATTGTTTTAATATGATCAATATTATTTATAAGTACAATGTGAGATGTATCCAATTTGTAAACAACTTCAGTTTTTGAAAAACAATTTTTACTACAGGACTTCAAAATCTTTGACCAACCCATCTGGCCATGAAATTCTTTGCCTGTAACAAAATTTTGATACTCAGAACAACTTATTTTGAAACAGAAAGGGAAGTTATTTCCTTCAAAGGGGTATAAATGATCTGGGGAATAGTTATGTAGAGCAAAAATTTAAATTGCCTTTGAATATTACAGCAATAAAATAAACATCCACATCAGCTGAGAAAGTAAGGATTGTAACTGGAAGATCAAATAACCACATATAGGCAAACCTGATTCTGTAAGCCCAGAAACCATGACAGTTTCTGATTTCTTAAAATAAGGTAAGACGTGTTGATAGTTCCATCCTGGCGCTCCAGTGTATTTTGCCCATCTGTCGTAGTCGTGCCGAGATCCCCTCACAAACATCATTGCATTAATGCTGCTGGAGCCCCCCAAGACCTTTCCCCGAGGCCAGTACGAGCGCTTTAAAAGAAATAAAATATTAAAATTGGATACCTTGTTTAACACAAATTTACTTAAATTATTCAACCTCAATTATATTATGTTGTTTATCCTTCATGAAAAAATCCTCCTCTATTAAATCTATTGTTCTGCTAGGATAGGAATTTTCTTCTCTCAACGTGTTTATCTTACAGGAAACTATTACAACTGAATGACTTACTCCATCCTTGAAACCATGCATTACATTATCTTGGGGTTCTGTAAAGTACTGCCAATCAATACTAGATCTGAGATTCAGGCTCGCAAGCCCAGGTATTTCAATACTTTCATTTCCCCAGTCACTCTCTCCAGCTTCCAGCAATAGAACTGTAACACTAGGATCCTCAGACAGCCTGCTGGCCAGCACACATCCTGCAGACCCAGCCCCAACTGAAATACAGGCAAGCAGATCAGCAACAGAATAGAACATGACTTTCTGAAGAAAAAAAAATTCAAACACTTTCATAGGAAAGCTTCACCTTTTGGGAAACGAAAGGAAAACAAACTTTGACCCTGTGGGCAAAAAATGCTATTAATTAACCAATACTCCCAACCACCCCTTATCAAAAAATATTTGAGTCACAAAATTTTACCGACACTGATAAGAATTTGTTATCCTACTTAGTTAAAAGTTGTTGAAATGGAATTTTTGAAAGGCTCAAAGCTTTTTATTATTTTTATTTATCCTTTAATTGTTTGTAAAACAAAATATCTCATGATCAGCTATTTTAAATGGTTTCTTTTTCAAGTTCTACAATGTTTTCAGCCACTGTAACAGCGCAGTGGCATGGGCAAAAGATTTTTTAGGGTGATGGTCAGCCCAGGACAGTGCTTTTTTCTTTATAGGGAAAAGCTGTAATTAAGGCCAATTGCGAAGTTTTTTATAAGGGAAGTGGGCTAAAAAACCTGGGCTGGACATGTGCAGCTAAAACCCTAGCTACACCATTGGCTTAAAGGGATTGTGCAGCAAAAATCCTAGCTACACCATTGGCTTAAAGGGATTGTGCAGCAAAAATCCTAGCTACACCATTGGCTTAAAGGGATTGTGCAGCAAAAATCCTAGCTACACCATTGGCTTAAAGGGATTGATTCAACAAGAAGAAAGACTCCTTTTAAAATATGACCCAAAGTAAATACTCACCTACAATGTAGTCATAAGTTGCATTTGGTTCAGAGACTAGGAATGGTGATGCTAATAAATTGTCAAAAAAAATGTGTTTGACAAAATAAGCAAATGCAATAATGAAGATAATGTTTACTGTCCACAACATTCTCATTTCAGTTGCTTTAAGACCATGTGTGTGTTATTGGTCATTAGTATAGCAGAAAACTTTGTGCAGTATGTTGCAGGACCAGATGCTTGATATGAGCTGGATTTTCATTGACTTGCTCTCGGATCTCTTTTTGACTTCTGTACATGGAAAATTATATTTTATTTTTTTATTTTGTCAAAAGATTTCTTATTTATTTCAAAATAAGTTGGTTGCATTTTAAAAGTGTGTTTGATAATTGAAACAAGTCACTCTGATTAGTAAGAGAACTACATTTATCTAATTAAAACATGATTTTTTTAGTTTTACTTTCTATTGCACCAATGTATAGTATAAATAGCATCATATTTTGTTATACCCCAGTGCAAAGCAAATTTATCTACACCCCCGCACCCACATAAACATTTATTTGCATTTGGGATAAGCAAGATTCCATGTACCATATGTAACTTATTAATTACATAAAGCATAAGAACAAGTAGAATGAATGAGAGTGACATGGATATTCAAAAATGAAACTCTGAAACACATGGCCCAATTAAATCAATAATCAAGGAAAGAATCTAAGTAAAGAATAACCATCCAATATTAAGGCTGGCAACAAAATTTCAGCTCTCTTGACTCTTGGAAGATTAGAAGAAATGTCTAAAAAAAGATTTATTATTTAAAATGTTGTAGTTGAAAATATTTCATTGTCCTACACCAGAAAGCAAAACCATGATCCCACATGATCCAATTGCATATTTAAAGGTTAATATGACTCATGACAGTTTGGCAAATAGAGATGGATAAGACTTGCTTTCACAGAATAAATAAGCTGCATTAAAAAATTAATTAATTGGTCTGTGGTAGGCCTAGGTGTGAAATTTCAAACTTCAATATCCTGCAACAACATCATGACATGCTTAGTAATACTTTGTTAAATTTGAAACTTTTTGTTCCTAATTCCTAGTTCAATAAAGAATTTTGTGCCTTTTGACTTTTAATGTGAATTTTCAGCATATTATATTGACACAGAGTCATTGTATTGCTATAAATTGCGAACTGAACTGACTGTTTTAGCCCATTTCTATAATTTATAATATAATACAGTACCGTAATAGTTAGTAATATAAATATAGTATAGCCTAAAATTAAAATTACTTTTAAAATGTATAGGCTATAGGCTATAGGCCTAGGTCCTATGTCCAAATCGAGTAAGTCTAATAATACAACTAACCACTAAAAGTTTAAAAGTTAAAATAACAAGTTTTTAAAAAATAGACCTGAAAATACTAATAGTGGAAATGGCACGGGTGTCATCACTACATTTACTTTTTAAATATAACTATTGGTCCTGCTATATGAGTCAGCTCACCTCTTCTAATGCTACGCCATTATGGGCATCTAAAAATGGGCCCCTCGGCTTTTATTATTGAACATCAACATTTTCTAATCTAACCACCTAAACCAAAGGAAATTTTGGTTTAAGGGGAGGCCACTCCAAAATTTATCATACATTTGTGTCAGATGAGTTGCTGTTATTGCACAGAAACTTCATTTTTAATGATTAACTTTATCAAATCTAAAGAATACAAGTAGGGTCGGATTAACAATTAAGCAATATAAGCTTCATGTGTTTGGAGAACCACAACAACAAATGAAAAAAAAAATCAAGATTTTTCAAACAAACAAAAATCCATATAGTGTTTATAAATTAAAATTTGTTGTGTTGTTTTGATGCTTCCTTTTTTTTTTTTTTAGTTTTCCCCAGATTTGGTTTTGCTCATTTCCTTTTACCTAACCTTATTGCAGTCTCTCCCTTTATTCCTAAATTTTTAGCACGCCTGCCCATGCAATAATACAAAAAAAAAATCCATATAGTGTTTATAAATTAAAATTTTTTGTGTTGTTTTGATTCTTCCTTTTTTTTTTTTTTAGTTTTCCCCAGACTTGGTTTTGCTCATTTCCTTTTACCTAACCTGATTGCAGTCTCTCCCCTTATTACTAAATTTTTAGCACGCCTGACCATGCAATAATACACATTTTCAATACTAAATGATGTGCCTCAGTGTCATATAAAGTAACTGTGTCAACTTCTGAACGGGAAATGTACTTTCATGGCTGTGAAAGGGGACATACATTCCAACCAGCATCTCTTCTTATTGCTCACTGAGTCCCCTCCCCTAGATCTCTGTCTCCTCACTTTCGCTCGGGAGCCTTCAGCGCCCTTGATTCCCCCCCTCTGACCAAAGTGACAGTACCGGCACCTTTTTATTATAAAAGGGACTGCTACTAGGTAAAGAGCACGGTTGCCAACCATCCGTAATTGAAGAATAGTCTGTCAAAATTGACTTACAATAAAATTCCCGTGAAATTCCGTAAGGACTTTAGCAAGCCCGGAGGGAGGGGGGTGGGAGAGAGAGAGAGAGAAAGAGAGATTATCATTAAAGCCTTGAAGCAAATCAAAAGCGTTTGTCATTTCTAATGACTTGCCTGTAAATGAGCTGATAAGGTGACCATTTATCCTGATTTTACCAGGTCAGTGCTTTTTTTTTTTAACAAAATCTTTGTCCTGGTTTGTCGTGAACAGAAACCAATACATTTTAAGACTTCACAATTCAAAAAAATTAAATTTAACTATTAAATTATGGTTAGTGTCGCCTCCCTTGCACGAAAATAATTCTGCAGTCGGCCTAGAATGTTTGCCTTTATAAAGATAAAGTGTCCGACCGAACGCCTCTAGGTCGGTGACCCACACCACCGAAGAAATTCGGAGGTGTCACACAGATCTTGCCTCTGCGAGGCGTGGCAGACTAGCAGGGAAAGCGCTCCTGAAGCAAAAAGATCCCAGGCTAAACGCATGACTTCCAACGCAACGGAAGTTGCGCGCTACCATGATGACGTTGTCGCCGATAATGGATATGAGGCCTGGGTGGAAGCAAGACCCTTGCCGAGGGTTAAAAACACGCGGCCCTGAGAAAGCCGCTCCTAGGTGACCGTTTCGTCCCGCACCAGTCCCGTCCGTACTACTCCCTGGACGGTGGGGGAAGGTAACTCAACACTGACCCCGGAGAGGAAGTAAAGCTGTTCCGACCCAAGATCGAACAACTCCCTGGACGATAGAGGAAGGTAACGCAACACCGACCCCCGGAGAGGAAGCAAAGTCGTCCTGTCCACCAAGGAGAGTGGACTGTCCACACTCTGAAAAGGTTGTGAACGGTCGACCAGACAAACCCCTAAGCTCCAGGGGGAGGTCTCGAGCGCTCCTTCGCACCATGTGGCGGTGGGGAGACCCGGCGTCGTCCCGTGTGGGGTTGTGCCGGAGGGGGTCTTAGGAGCACACGCTCGATGACCCACCGACGCCATCTCCTAATTGAGTTATTGAGGGGGGAAACACAATAAGTTAAATGCACTTTGTAAAACCAACCCTAGTGGTGTCAAAGGTAGGGACGTCATTTGTGTAGGGCAGGATGGGGCATTTGCCCCCCCCCCCACGAATTTGCAGGTTTTATTTAAATTGCTATGTACTGTGGCGGATCCAGTAATAAACAACTTAACAAGCTGACCAAATTTTGGTTTTGCCCCCCCCCCCAACAACACCTGAAATTACGCCCTTGTTTAAAGGGGGCACGAATTTCTTTATAAAATAGGTGAATAGGTCAAAATGACGTATACAAGGTAAGACGTGCTATTAGGATAGCTGCCGAGCCACTGGTAGCCATGTTACAGGCAAAGTGGGCCATCCACGCATGCAACAGAGAGCCCGACGATTTCTATTCAAAGTTTGAAATACACAAGACATTGACATGATCAAATGACTCGACTCATCAAAGTACATGGAAGGGATTGGAGTTTTTGTAAACAAAAGATTAAAGGCACAAACATTTCATTTGAGATCTAAATGTTCATCAGAATTGATCTTTTTATTATTATTATTTATTGCAGGATTCTGAACCAAAAATACTTTTTTTATATATTAAAAAAAAAATACACAAAAACAATTTTTATTTTAATTATTGGTGTTTTAAATGCATTTATCACATTTTTCCTAGGAGCAGACGAACTTTTGTGTTTTAGCAGATGAGAGTGAGATTTGACGCGGACATGCATCGCCGCCATTTGCACCCGGGTCCCATTACTCAATGCTATTCGGATATCATTTGTAGTAGTTTATTTTAGTTAAACTGAAGAAGTAGGTTTAAAAACATATAGCCCATTCAATTATCTTTCATTTGATAACTCATTTTGTCTTACAAACCCAACAATAACATTTAAATATTTTTTTTTTAAATTCCAACCTCTCACTTCTGTTACCCGGGTGCGAATAGTCGCAGCCTTTTGTCATATCTCGATATCATTTTACTGGCTTGCTGAGATAACTTTTGGTATCGAATGCTGTCATTTTACTGGTTTGTTGCGATTACTTTTAGCATCGACTATTGAATTCGATCTAATAATAAATGTGTGGAATTAGCGGATTGATGTCAAGGATTTAGATAAGTGAAGCACAACATTTAGTATCATGCCAGGAGATGACCAATGATTTTGTCTAGACACATTTGCCGAGATGACCTGTGATTGTGTCCGGGAAAACTTGCTGAGATGACCACCGATTGTGTCTGATCATATTTGCCGAGATGACCACTGATTGTGTCCGGACACATTTGCTGAGATGACCACATATTGTGTCCATGTTGTACCATAATCTTCTCTTTTAACGAATTCCTCTTTCACACATCATAGGTTCAGTTTTTGCTGTCTTTTCTTAAGTGATATGAGACAATGCTTTGTTCACTGAATGGTTACGCCAGCCAGTTTTACCTACGTGTAGATACGTAGGGAGTGTAGAACGTGCGAATAAAGATATTGGACACATTGTCATGCAGACGGCTTGCGTGAACGATGAGAACAGCAGTCATTCGAGCATTGGTCTAAAGCTTGTTCATTTCACGAAAAACCGGGCCCTTAATGCTGGTATCAAGGTGTCTCCCAATGAGGCTTTTTTCGTTTGCATAGTAAGGTTAGGCAAAACACATCAAATCTACCTCAAGAAGTGACCATTGACATTGTTTTGTCAGTTTCAGAATCTGTTAATGCTCTTTCTACAACACTCAAAGTCTCTACATATTTTTTCTTTCATACTAGCTTAAACATGTTTGCAAATTGAAGAGCCTACTTTTCTTTCGTCCATGCAAACTCAAATATCTGCTCCGGTTGAAGTATCAACATGTTCTACATCTAAACCACGACACACATCGGCAGACTCTTCCTCAACACCACACTTATCTATGTGCAATCCTGCTGGGCCTCTTCAATCAAAGAGAACCTGTTGAAGAATTTGCAGATGAAACAATGGCATTCAGAGATTGCATATGTTGTGTGTGCTTGAAGACTTCAAGTGGACATGTCAGTGAACAAACTGTAGGGGTAATATTAACGCTATTTGAGGCCATAGTTCTTATAGCGAAGAGCGATACAGTGCCCATGTGTTGTGTCAGAGGGATACAGTGCCCAAGTGTTGTGTCAGAGGAATACAATACCCACGTGTGGTGTCAGAGCGATACAGTACCCATGTGTTATGTGAGAAGGATCGAGTGCTACGGTACTGATTTTCATTCCTTCATGGGCCAATGGACAAGGAGACGTACCATTTTGGGTGTCATTATTGATGTGCAGGACGATGTCATCATTGACGTGCAGGACGATGCCATCATAGATGTGCAGAACGATGTCATCATTGATGTGTAGGATGATGTCATCATTGACGTGCAGGACGAGGTCATCATAGATGTGCAGAACGATGTAATCATTGATGTGATGGACGATGCCATTATTGATGTGTAGGACGATGTCATCATTGACGTGCAGGACGATGCCATCATAGATGTGCAGGACGATGTCATCATTGATGTGATGGACGATGCCATTATTGATGTGTAGGACGATGTCATCATTGACGTGCAGGACGATGCCATCATAGATGTGCAAGACGATGTCATCATTGATGTGATGGACGATATCGTTATTGATGTTTAGGACGATGCCATCATGGACGTGCAGGACGATGCCATCATAGATGTGCAGAACGATGTCATCATAGATGTGATGGACGATGTCATTATTGATGTTTAGGACGATGTCATCATCGACGTGCAGAACGATGTTGTGACGCACCGACTTGTATTGGGAGAAATTAATCTCCTAATTTAATTTTAATTGGCTCGTTGTAAGCAGTGCCTAACAAAGGACGATACCATAGAATCAACAATATTAAAGATACGACCCAAAACAGTTTCTAGTTACAATTAATAAGATTTATTATGTCTTAAGATAATTACAAAAGAAAAGAAAATATAATTACAATCTTCAGCTTACAGTATGGTAGATCTTGTATCGGTACACAGTTAACACAGTTAGAATAATGTGCCAATAAATAATGCGAAATAAACACATACAAGCTCACAAATACACAA